GAGCTTCTACCACTCTCCATCATCCATGAATCTATCTAGCCTCCTTTTGAAACTTTCCAGCGTTCCAGCACTTACTACAAAGTTGCTAAGCTTGTTCCACTCGTCCACCACCCTATCTGTGAACCATTTCCTTCCTATCTCCCTCCTAAACCTAAACTTATCCAACTTAAATACTTCTATCATATCTCCCCGCACTCTTCGTCTTTCTAGGGAATGCAAGTTTAGTTTCTTTAACCTATCTTGATATGGAAGGTTTCTAAGTCCCGGAATTATTTTCGTCATTCTTCGCTGCACCGACTCCAGTGAATTGATATCAATTCTATAATAAGGGCACCAGAACTGAACCGCATAATCGAGGTGCGGCCTGACTAGCGCAAGATATAGTTGCAATAAAACCTCTGCACTCTTATTACTTATACTTCTAGATATGAAACCTAATACTCTGTTTGCCTTATTTCGAACATTAACGCACTGTTTTCTAGGCCGTAGGTCCGGGCTTACAAGTACCCCTAGGTCTCTTTCACAAATCGACTTCTCTAGGTTGATGTTGTTAAGGCTGTATACATTGACAGTATTTGTTCTTCCAATATTAATTACGCTGCACTTGCTGGAGTTGAATTTCATTTGCCATTTTTCTGACTACCCCTGCAGTTTATTTAAATCCTCCTGTAGTGCATTTGCATCCTGCCCTGAATTAATCTGCCGCCCTATTTTGGTGTCATCCGCAAACTTGCTTATGTCACTGCTGATCCTAGTATCTAGATCGTTTATGTAGATTATGAACAAGAGTGGGCCTAGTATTGACCCCTGGTTTAACCCCACTGGTTACACAGCCCCACTCAGATTTAACACGATCTAAGCTGATCCTCTGCGTTCTATCGGTGAGCCATGATTTTATCCAATTTTAAACTTTCCCCTCGATGCCATGAGCCTTAACTTTTCTCAGAAGCCATGTTACCAGCATGGACGACAGTAGACTGCCACCTAACGAATGGTAAATGTAACGCTGGCGGACAAGTGAAAAGGTATAAGGATAGTCTTTAGACAAACTTGAAAAAGTGTCAAATCGACCCCTTCACCTGGGAGACGATTACTCCACACAGTAACGCTTGGAGGAGCACCACACGAGAAGGTGTCAATACTATCGAGTTAACCCGACTGCATACCGAGGCAGACAAGCGCCAGAGCCAGAAAGACACTACTGTCCCTCCCCGCACTAGATGTAGTTCTCCACAAGTGCAACGTCTGTGGACGACCCTGTCGGTCCCGCATCGGCCTCTCGAGTAACCTCAGAGCTCACCAACTGAGGTGAGATCCTTAATAACTCATATCATTGTATCATAGCTGGATGATCGTCATACTCGATTCCGAGTGACAGCAAAGTAGTAGTAATTCCCAACTGAAACACGTAGTGATCCTGGCTGACACACGTATTGATCCTGGCTGACACATGGTGATCCAACCTGACATGTGGTGATCCTAGCTGACACTCATAGTACTGGCTAACACTTCATGATACTAGTTGACACACATGGCACTACTTAACACACATGACACTGTTTGACACACAAATGGTGGTGAAGAATAAACCAATCAATGTTTCAAAATAAATTTTATTTCTAAACTTGTTATTCATTTTAATTCAAATATAAACATATCCAGAGTATGTGTTCGCGTAGAGCAAAACAGTGATAAGAGATGTATACTGTACTATTTTGATAATGAATACCGTCAAGATTGTCGTTGATAAAATTACATCTTTAATGGTAAGTGGGGCGGTGAGTGATGGTGCATACACGATCAAAAAAGTATCTGTGCACATTGGGTCTGATGATTTCCTAAATGATCAATACACCTATACCGCAACCCAACCACCAACATGAACCACGTTACACATTGTTCGCAAGGTTAATCTATTCTCTTTGGAATGTGCATACAATAACAGTTCTTACTAAGGATAAAACAGAAAATATCGCTAGCAAGCGATATGTGGTATTTTGCAATATCCATCGTCTGTGGTGTCAGATTGTTTCACGCGAAATGTGCAGATACTTATTGATCGTGTACACTGCTTTGCTTATTTAGGCTAAGACACCCACCTTAAGATATGCTTCCACCAAATGAAAGTGACTATGATTACTTGCACTTTATACCCGCAGTCATTTCTGATTTTAAGATCAATGGTTCCCACCTATCCACTCAATGTGTGCTTACGTGGGCGTAACACTAAGACCGTGAATCGTGAATATTGGCCTGTCCCCCCGGTTCTCCTCTTCTTTGGTCAGATTTTCTCAATACCTTTCCAGTTTACCAACCGGGGGTCACCTAAAGCTTAGACTCCAGCTTATTTCACCTTAAGATTAACCTCCCTAACGCTACCATAACCTAACCCCCCAGGTAGCGTTAAGATGGTTAATAATCAGGTGAAATAAGCCTGGGAGCTAATCTTCAAGAATCAGGGGTTCTCAAACTTTTTCTCACCATCGACCCGTACCGTTATTACTGCTGAATATAGAATGGTACTACACTGGATTTTGTAAATCTGATGTAGACCCTCATCTATCCGTCGTTCTCTCTCTCTCTCTCTCTCAAGTTACCTATTGTTGGTTATTTGAATATAAAAACTTGTGCGGTGAAATTATTTGTATGTGAATGTTAAAACGTATGTGGTGCTTGGAGAGAAGCAAATTTTCATATTGTAAATATAGCATTAAATTTCTATAACCTCATGAATTAAATCTGGTGAAATTAGTATATTCTAAATTGATTTTCGCCAGCCCTCAATGTACCCCCTGGAAACACTCCTGCATACCCCTGGGGGTTCTCAAACCCCTGTTTGAGAACATCTGACTGTTTGGGTGATCCCCATTTGACACTGTCCAGGTGTTTGAAAACCCTGATTCCTGTACTCGATAAACGAGTTGGAGTTACAGAGCGTGTGGGTTTTAGTTGGTCTGTTGGAAGGCAGATGACAAGCTTACACATCAGGGTCACAGCGTCTCATTCTACTCCGAGTCTGAGGGGAATCTGATCTGATGTGCAGACTGTGGTAATGCTGGAGCTTTAATATTTGTCGGTTGTAACTGGGGGTAGACTGGTTGTTGCTGCACTAGCTGTGAAGACGGATAGGTCAAACGAATGATTCCACAGGCTGCGCGACTCCCCGCATTGCCGGTTATGAGGCTGCCAGCGTTGCCGCCCTGTCCCAGGTCGTCGGCCCCGGCGTGGATGACGATGGCCCGGTCACCGATGAAAGCTGGAGAGGTGGGGTCAAGAGAGAGGTGATTGTCTGTAATGAAGACCTGTGCTGAACCGAACTGGTCTGCCACAATGTTGCCCAAATCTCCCACGTGGCGCTCGAAGTACCCTGGACCGCCGTGGTTTCTCTGTGAGGAAGAGAATCACCTGAGTTAACAAGAGTTAGAGCTTTAATCTGAGTTGAAAATAAAATCATGTAACAAACCCACTCAAGGTGCCTTTACCTGAGCCAATTAATTTCGTTATCTTATGGATATTTATCACATCAAGTCCTGACTTTTGTCATCACAAGGTATTAAAAAAATAGTTAACCGTGCAGTATACTGTAACTACTGTAATGGAAGACGTAGCTTTGTGTGAACTAGCATACACCTTGGTGAGGTGGTGTACTGTTTGGCCGCTGCCGATGAATAACGTTCCTCCTTCGTCAGCACAAGATTGGTAAATTAAGTACTTTAAAGTCGAAGTTAAATTAATCTAATTTACATGACCAACTTGCCTGCGATCTGCCCCTCTCCCTATATACACACATTACAACCCCCCACCCAAAAAAAAGATGGCAAACTTGTACCAAGATTTAATAATAAATATTCTCGTTGATACCAAAATCAGAATGGCTGCCAATATATTATTAATGACTGACTGAAGGAATGCAAGCACGTCACCGGACTGATCACGTATATTAAATGCAGTCCGTAGATGTTAGATGTACTGTGGCCTCAGACCCTCCAATACTTTAGTGGGCCATGAGTATATTGTGGCAACCTTGTAGGTGGGATGACAACGTGTATAGTAGCCAAGATTCACAGCCCGGACAACCCAGTGTACTGAGCCGTGTGTGTGCGCTGATGGACACCATGAACGAGGCTTTGCAGATTGAGTTAGTCGTAGGTTCTCGGCCAGTGAAACTAACTTACAGCCTCGCATGTGGTACGCAGCTGTACTAATATTGTTCCCCTTATCTTCCTTCTTTGACCAGGAAACTTTTAACCAACATTAGACGGATTTATTATATGCATTGTAACTGCAGATAAATTAATTACGTACTGCAAAGTTTACTTGAAGGCAAGTAAAGATGGTAATGAGATTAAATTCTGGCTATTTGCATGAAATTAAATTCTGGCATTTGTTGAAACGTTAACGTGATGACCACAAATTATTCAAGGTTATATTCTCTTCAGTAGGTCATGTAAGGTTAACTTTGGCTCACTGCCCGCCAGTATGAGAGCACTCAAACCAGGTCGAGTGATGAGGTTTTCTCCCGTTTGACTATGGCTGCTTCTCCTTGTACAGTCTTGGCTCATTTATGCAGGTAATGTCCCAGACCAAGTGCCAGGCTCTACACCATCATGGGGAGCTGTGGGGAATACTAGACTTGACCTTCGTGTCCTGAATATATGAACTTTAAATCGGTGTGGTGATGTAGTAGTCGACTTGCCTGTGTAATTTTGTTTACATAAGTAGGGTCCGAGTTACTATACTATAGTATTATATAACACCTTTTTTCATAACTCATACCAAGTTAATCACATCTACCCTGCTACATTTGACCTAGGCGTGGGTAAGAATTATTTTGACGAATATGATGCGTATATTCAGGAACGGAGTGACATGAAAAGTTATATTCTTATTTTCAGCAAAGTAAGCGTATTTAGAAGTCCCATATATAAACTTCACCAAAACAAACGTTAAGGTGTAATATTTCTATTACAGATAATTAGTGATTCTCTGAGCTGTTTGAAAAAAAAAACTAATTACCTGAATATTTCCCACCCCCCGGCTTTTTTTTTTCACTTAAATCTCTCCGGGGTAGTGTTAGCAGGGGTGCAGTGCTGCCGGAGCTCACCGGAGCGGCGCTCCGGTGAGCTCTGTTTTAATCAATCAATCAATCAATATCGCCGACGCCTTGTTCCCTCCCGGGAACTCCCCTACGGGGATGGCCATGGCAGAAATGTCTCCAGGCCATTTTATCCTTGCACACCTCGCTTGCTCTCTCAAACACTCTTCCTCCCCTTCCCGCTCTCTCTTCAACAAACTCTCTAACTCTTTTCTCCCAGGTGGCAACTGGTCTACCCCTCCCAACATTCCCCTCTCTCTTGCTTTCATAAACTTTTTTGTCACCCTGTCTTCATGCATCCTCGGCACATGTCCATACCACCTTAGTGTATCCCTCTTCATCCACTCCACCACACTTCACACATGAAGTTATAGTAAGCTCTATATGTTACTATAAATCTATATCAATCAAGCAATCAACTTTATTTTGCATTAATAATACATATATAAAACCGAATATATCCCCATATAATTAATCTCTCCTTCAGATCAGTTTACATTTTATGACTTATCAATATTGTAGAAAGACTTTGATAACAGGTGCCCTTAAAAACAGTGCTTTTTCAAAAGTAGGTTTGTATTTCCTCGCATAAGAGCTATAGATGTGTTACCAATATCGAAAGGATAAGCACATTAGACTACTACTAGACCATATATATATATATATATATATATATATATATATATATATATATATATATATATATATATATATATATATATATATATATATATATATATATATATACCCTGAAATAAGCTGATAGTGAACTGAATAATTTCGTATGATCATGACAAGATGACTTATATAACTGACAACTACATAATTATGTTGATTGTCAGATACAAAATCGTGTTTTTTTTTTTTTTTTTGTATAAAGTAAATTATTTCCGAATTCTGAAGGTTAGGTATTTGTATGTTGGTTCAATGAGTTGACCAACTATTTACCGTCAGATAAACAGGGTACAGTATTATCAAAGAATCGTGTTATTGTCAATATCTTTGCTCTGGTGCACACAGTATTTCTTTTCTTTTGAAATGAGACTAGCAGGTGGACACACACACTCACACGCACACACATTCACACATGCAATCCAAGCATCATTTGGAAATTAAACTTTCATAACTTTATCTTTGTTCAAGCGCTATTTCATCAGAGTGGGTGTGGGTTTCCAAGTGTTATTACAGATCATTTAGATTTTCTTGCGATATAAAACTAGTAATTCTTGGATAGAACACTAAGGTGTAAGGCAGGTCGTGTAGCGATCAAAACGTGGGAATGGTAAGTGGTAAACTGTGGTTGAGTATCTTCGAAGTCTAGTCCTTGTACTGTACTACAATTTTTGTTTCCATAAAGGTTCTGCTTTACTGAACACTGACAATATATCTTCATAGTTGACCAGATGTGCAACATGTAACTTGTTAAATACGTTCTAAAAACATAACCATTTTTGTTTTAGATAATGAGTAAACACGTAGCGTACATTCTTATGTGGTGTGTAGTGAGAAGTATATTTAGGTGTGTACTGCGAGGCCCAACCCTCGCCTGCCAACATGACCACCCTACACCAGCCTTCACGCGTTTCGTTATTTATAAAACACCAAGATACTGTCACTTGCGTAAAGGAGGGTAGGGGAGGGAGGGTGGTTGTAGCGGGTCTGGTGTCAACTGGTGATTGGTTGTTTCTATTTTCTTTTTTTCTTTTTTGTATAAAACATAATAAATGATATTTTGTTCCCAAGACTTTTCAAGAGCTTCAGTCAGCATGAAGCTTATTTTAAACACTTATGCTCAGTAATGGTACAGTACTTGGCTGATTTATCAAGGCCATAATGATTTGCAGGCGAAACATTAAAAAAAAATCCACATACGGATGCATTATTGAGCTTATACTCTTGTTTTTAAGGAAAGAATAGCTATCAACATGGGCATCAGCTCCCAGCCAGTATGACGATTAACTCCAAGAATACACCACGAGTCCCGCACTACAACTGACCATTTAGCATTACATATCCTATACAAGTATGTTATACAAGTTTGTTATTGGACAGGGTGTCTAATGGTCTGAAAAATCTGGAAAAGGCAGGGAACTTGACAAATAAACATGGAATTTTATGTGAACTCAGTTCCACTTCACAATATTGTTATTTTAACAGCAATCTTACCATAAATTAACGATGTACTATACAACAAGTAAAAATTAAACTTTTAGGAACAAGTTCCAGTAAGTAGTCCACTCCAATATTACAGGTTATACCTACTAATTCTGCAATGAGTATCGTCAGAGATGAATTGGTCTTATAATTAAGTGACTTTATTTCAGTGGATTATTCCACATATTTATCATGAGTCATATAGGTGGATCAGGAGTGTGATTTTTCGGTTTTTGCCGGATTTCCGACTTTTTTGGAACTTCCACGTGAATCGCACAAATCCGAGGAGAAAAATATGGAAGGGTTTTGCCGATGTTCATCACTAGACCTAATGATCATCCTGATCATAGCTGGTTAGGTAAAATAGTCAGTCAGTCCGGTAGCCAGTGGCAATAAAAAAAATCGATGGACAAGTGACCTACAATACTGAGACCCGACAGAGAATCGGCTGAAGCCGGAAGTCCAGAAAACTGTGAGGGTAAACTTTTTTGGAGTGAGAGTTGTAAGCTCTTGGAACAACCTGCCGGAAAGTGTTGTGACTGCACCGAGTGTGAACTGTTTCAAGACCAGACTTGACAAGCACTGGAGCAGGTTCAGATGCATTCAGGAGCCAGTGCATGACCAGTACTTGCCCACATTGTGTAACAAACGTGACCGACCGCCCAAGCGGCTAACAAGCCGATCAATGGTGAAGAGGATATAAGAGAAAAAGAAGAAAAGAAAAGTTTTATTTAGCGCCAGGTGGACAGTCGACCGAAAGGGTATTCAATTTCTTGAATATATATATATATATATATATATATATATATATATATATATATATATATATATATATATATATATATATATATATATATATATATATATATATATATATATATATATATATATATATATAAGAACGTAAAAAAATGAGTCTGCAATAGGCCGGTTGGCCTGTGCATGGCAGTCCTGTCGAGAGTTACTACCACTCTCTATCATCCACGAATCTATCCAGCCTCCTTTTAAAACTTCCAGTGTTCCAGCACTTACTACAAAGTTGCTAAGCTTGTTCCACTCGTCCACCACCCTATTTGTGAACCAGTTCCTTCCTATCTCCCTCCTAAACTTATCCAACTAAAATCCGTTGCTACGAGTCCTATCCTGCTCGAATATTATAAGAACTTTATCTATATCGCCTTTATTGATTCCTTTCACCTACTTAAATACTTCTATCATATCTCCCCGCACTCTTCGTCTTTCTAGGGAATGCAAGTTTAGTTTCTTTAACCTATCTTGATATGGAAAGTTTCTAAGTTCCGGAATCATTTTCGTCATTCTTCGCTGCACCGACTCCAGTGAATTGATGTCCATTCTATAATGAGGGCACCAGAACTGAACCGCATAATCGAGGTGCGGCCTGACTAGCGCAAGATATAGTTGCAATAAGACCTCTGCACTCTTACACTTCTATATATAAAACCTAATACTCTGTTTGCCTTATTTCGAACATTAACGCACTGTTTTCTAGGCCGTAGGTCCGGGTTTACAGGTACCCCAAAGTCTCTTTCACAAGTCGACTTCTCTAGGTTGATGTTGTTAAGGCTGTATACATTGACAGTATTTGTTCTTCCAATATTAAGTACGCTGCACTTGCTGGTGTTGAATTTCATTTGCCATGTTGTACAGAATGAACACTTAGTTAAGGAGAACGGGTAGTAATGACAAAAGAACTGCACACTTACATTGAAGGGGTTGAAGTGTCCCCCGGCGGCCGCACACTTGTCGGTCAGGTCACCTCGCTCGTGGACGTGGAACCCGTGAACCCCTGGCCTCATCCCCAAGATCGTCCCTGTAGGAGTAATTAGGATGTGAGGGTTTTTGATTGAGGAAGGCCTTGGAAAGAGTGTAAAAGATACTGTCACGAACCAGGGAGAGGTTTAGGTAAAGGAAAGTGGCTGGAATAACCACGATTAATTGAAAATTACATGCAGTACTCCAGTATTAATTCTCACTAAGATGTCTAAGTCGTCAGACCAACATACCATTCTTAAGATCATCTACTATTCTGAGAGATATGAAATATCCAGTTAGAACTTACCATCATCAGAGATTTCCTAAGAATACCATCCACAATGATCATTCCCCTAAGAGATTCTCATCTGGCCATAGCTTCTTTCCTACCTGAGATAGTGACTCCTCCTGGGGATGGAGAGAGTGCGAGAAGTCCAATGGCAGGTTCATTGCCAGGCAGGATGCGGACCACAGCAGCAGGTCCCTGAGGGGAAGAGGAGCAAATCGGTCAGAAAGACTACCTGGAGGGACACCTCAGTACCTGCTGTCTCACTTCTCGTTCTGTTGATTACTGTCGCGGATGATTTGAATAATTTGACCGTGCAACGTCGATTTAATTTATTTACTTGAATTTCCGATGCAATACCAAGTGAACAATACAGGAATGATAGACCCTGCCCGTCCTCTTAATCAGGTCCTGATGTGTAGCTGCCATGACACAATAAATTATCATTGGCAATAACTTTAGTGATTATCATCTTGATATTTGTAAACTTGTGAGAGCATGCTTGGCTACCCTAGTGATAACGGCACACATTTTGAGTGTCTACCTACATCCTGGGCGTTGACGACACAAGACAACAGCAGCAGCTCCAACACCACACTGGCCAGCATCATCTGTTAAACAAGACTTTATTACCCTTAAGTTTACACATACTTCATAAATACCTACTAGTTGCAAGTGTATAAATAGTCACAGTATAGTGTGTCACTGTCCAGATCATAGGGACGTAAATAGTTATATAATAGTATACGGTCCTGTATACGTATATTGTGTGATTTAATTATGCGTACCTGTACGTGAGTAGCTATTTATGCTGTGTATTGCCATAATTTAGCCACTTCAATTATGTTAAAGATGAATATAATAATGAGGGCACAAACGGCACAACAAAAAAACAAATTGGCAACTCGGCACAACTTTGTCCTTAATATTTATCACTTAAAATTAATGTTACCTCAATACACGACAACCAATGTTAAATGCTTGAAAATACTGCAAAAAAAGTATATATATTGTACGTGCTACCACCTTGCCACCATTCGTAGATATGTTGATTAATAAAATTAAATGTACGAACCTTCAAGAATCTGATCTCAGACTGACCAAAATGTGGAGCTTGTTTATATACTGAGAAAGGACACTACATCTGCCTTTATCGTCGCAGACAAACCATAAAACATATAATAATGACTCTTTTCACCCATCAGTTTTATGAAGAAGCGATTGATAGGGCTGATTTTGTTAATGGTAATGATGGTGATATTTGCAGAGGTGTTGTAAAAGCCAGCAAATTACAACTAGCGTATCATGCATAACCACTGTGTTGACTAAATGTAGGATCCATGACTGTTTATTATGTAGTTATTAAAAACAAACGAAAATGCCTAATCAAGTCAACCATGTCTCTCATTAAACGACCCCATATCTGTTTTGTAATGCCTGCTACACACACGAATACTTTTCTCAGATTTGTCTGTACACACCAAGTCTACGCAGCCAAGACTCAACTGGGTATGTTTTCCTTCATATTGCATAACTCAATCGATCAATCATAGCTACCCTGTACGTCTGCACAAACAGCTCAGTTCGCCATCCCATTTTAGAAGAGCCGGTTTACCGCATAGATACTGCTGCTATACGCTTGTGCTCTGGCATGTGGGTTGAAAAAAGAAATAAGTTGCAAAATAAAGTGGTATAAACAATGGTGGTAAGGACTCGGAAAAGTTAACCACGGAAACTACTAACAAAATAGGGTTTTCTAGTGTGGTTTGTGGTGTTCCAAGTGACTGTGACCTTCATTTCCGTCGCAAATGAGCAGTTATGGAGATTTAACCTCCTAGTTACCAAAAATATTGGTTGCACAAAGTGGACAGGGCTTAGAAGTAGAGGGAAATTGTGGTGTTAAAACGCTCCCCCCCCCCCCCAAAAAAAAAAAAAAATAAAAAAAAACTGATGAAACTTCCTAGCCAGAGAAACCAGAAGGACGTAAACTCCTAGCCAAAGGGTCTCCGCCTCCCTGGACCCCCCTTTGTGTAAAAAAATTGTCTTAATTAACAGATGCTAGAGGATAAAGTGATGCTACTTGTAGGAGGAAGTGGTGAAGTATATAGTCTTGTGGTAGCTGTATTCGGCTTGGAACATGTACAGAGCTAAATATTGTCGGTAATTAATTTTTTTAATATCATATTCGCCACTTATGAGCTTACTATCCGTTTGGGCGGTTTATCCAGTGTTAGTACAGGAGGGACCGGGAAACCTGTGATGTTTGGTAGTGAGGGTCACACTGGATAACATCCTTCTCACGTGTGTCCGGGCTGAGGCTCGAACGGCTCGAGCCTTGAGTCGAACCCTTGACATATTGGTGAGAGCTTTGCGTATGAACGTCTCTAGCACTTCAATGACAGCGGCGCAGTACACACACAGGGCTGGGCAGGAATCGATTCCAGCGAGTCCGCCTTAATGATCCCAGAATCGAGTCCCGACTTGAGAATCGATTCAGCTATTAGTCGAATGTAACAACACTAATAATAAAGATAATAAAGAAATATAATAATGAAAAAAAGATCAATAGTGAGAAACAATATATGTATGTTGTGTTGTCAATAGTAAGAGAAACTATTGATACCCTGCAATTGTGTGTAAATGAGGCAGAAAGTCAGATGAGCAACCTGGGACTTGGTCACAATTTTCGTGAAGCCATATGGCAGCCAGGTCTACCATTAGACAATACATTATGCTTTCAATATCTTCCCAGGCGGTAGTACCTCCCTGTTTGGTAGCTGCCTCCTACCGACAAATGAAAAGTATTGGTACTCATCTTTATTCTAATATTTTATCATCGATTCTTATCGATTTGGCATTTTAACTGATAATCCTTGCTTCCCTGTAAAGATATCTTTGTGGCAGCGCTTGATTTTGCACAAACCTTGCAAAACGGTCTGCAGTCCACAAACCTCCCCGACAGTACACATATTCAAATTTGTCTGCGCAGACTTGATCTGTGCAGACAAATCTGAGAAAAGTCTGAGCTTGTGTAGTAAGGCTTTAAAAAACATCACTTTTATACATTCCACTCACTGAAGAACTAGATATGACTATCTCTTTATTTCCACTTACTAAGTGTATATATTTACCTAAAGTGCGCTCTTAAAGACTACTTAGAGTGCAGTAAAACTTTTTAACATCAATGATGAAGCCTAACCTTGTTCCACTAACTCAACTAAATAGAACGGCAGTAAAAAGCATCACACTCAATAAATGTAGGTTACTTTTTTATTGTTACTCGACTAGAACTAATATAAACCGTTTTTAAGTCTTTATGAGCAATGACAACTTTTACAGTACTTACCTTCACATCGCAGGTTGAGCCACAACTGAGGGAGCTCTCAAGCTGCTCTTTCCTTACCTCCCTTCTCTATCCCAATATGGTGAAGCAGTGTTGCCAAGCGTAGCCTGGAAGTGAAGGTCATATGTGATTCTCTGCGCAGAGGTTGATTTTTTCATTTACATTCTGTAAGTGGTTCAGCTGCCAGGGTTTTTAAACTCGTTTCACTTGAGTTTTAGTTTCTACACTGGACAACTTTTAAAGGTTATGAAAGCTATTCATGTTATAGGAAGGGGTGCATGCAGCAGAATCTTAATTTACTATGTCTTTCAATACGGAAATAAAAGCTGACACAAACATACGTACTAAATGACAGAATTAAATGGTTTTCATCTTCAAATGACTCGTTGCAGATGTATTAAAGTCACACCTGGTGATGGCGTCTACCTGGTCCTTATGTTAGGTAACCAGTAATTTTTTGCTGAGACTGTGATTACCTGCATCTTTCCAGTCTCCCGTGCATGTCAGAGAGAGTCGCGCAGTGAAAGAGCGGATACCAAGAGGAATCATGAATCTTCGATAACAAATGAAGCAGGTAATGCTAGATTTACTAAATATAAAAACCCTTATGGGCGAAATTAACTGTCCTGTTGAAGTCAAGTAGAGTGATTAAGTGCAGTAATCATCAGCAATGTTTAGACCTAGCAGACGAAGGAGAGACGAGGTTAGGTAAATAAGTTCTTTCACTGGGTCAGTCAGCGTGTCATTCAATCAGGAAAGTTTTCATTAAGGCCCCTTTCACACTATGCGGTTTCTCGCCGCATCTAGATGCGGTGCGGTGCCGGACATAGCAATCGACTGATAGTTCTTATGTACCCCTTCACACTATAAGGTTGCTGCGAATTCGCGGGTCCGACGCCGTATTGCCTGTGCGGCGTCCCACTGGACTTGTCCGGTACCGCGCCCGTACGCTGCAAACTGTAGTTGGGTCGCTGTACGTGGCAGCTGGACTATTGTGCGGCAGAAAACCGTGGTCTCTCCGGTGCGGCGAAAAACCGCATAGTGTGAAAGAGGCCTAAGCTGTTTTTAAACGCGGTCTACAAGATTCAACGATTTGGAAGCAATGCCGTTCTGTTGCATCATATTGACTACTAAAACTATTGAAATGCACGTAGTTTATCAGCATTATCTTCTTCTATTGTTAGTTCTTCTCTGCCCTGATTGTTGGAGTAGATCAGGGATACAGAAACTTCACGGAAGAGGTGAAATGATAAGAGTAGTGCAATAATACAAAGGCCTTCCCGCTTCAGGGCTTAACAATCAAAATAGAGTTAATACTCCGAAATTCACTACATACATCACTGACTCGACTGAGGCCACTAGAATATAGCCCCCCTCCTGCCCCGTGCTCCAGGAATTGTTACCGACTTCCTTGTCCTGAACGTTGTATGACAGAAAACCTTGACTATTAGTAGGACAAGTTCGGCTAGGGAGAGATGGGAGAGGAATCATACGCCACCACAACACATCTTTTCCTACCACTGAATCTCTCACCTTCCCAGTTTTACTTTAATAATAATGCTGTCGATAATAATAGCTTTAAAAAAGATATCACCAACAATGGTATGTGTTTGTCAGTTATATTGGATACTTTCCCTAGTCATTTAAAAAAAAGTGTTGATTATACAAGAAGCACAGACAACAGCAGATAATTTCACTTAACCCAATTAAAAACTCGTAGAATGCCCGTTACGGGACCATTTTTTTTAATACAACAGGACCTTTATCAGAGCAAAGTTAGGGAAGGGTGGCGGGGTTGTAGAACAAGAATGGTATAATAGGAAAAGAATGGCAGTCTTAGGGCCGGCGATCAGCACACATGTGGCACACCAGCACCAGGAGAATATTCAGGAAGAGTTCTGAGAATAATGTCTGTGTGTTGTATAGAATCGTTCCGTGTTGCTCAAGGTGAAGAGTCTGCTAACCTTGTTGTACAGTATTTATGAACAGACAGCAAGAATTGGTATTCAGGGCCGCATTTACTACTAGATTAGTTAATCAGGTGAGTACAAGTACGATTATCTTCACTAGTGCGTTTTATACTCCCATCAGAATAATAGTAATGCAGTTAATAATGCATGTTCAGCATTATCTTCCAACTGTTTTGTGGATACAAAGAAACAAAGGTGCAAATGTAATCAAGAACACAGTTTGAATTGAAAGGATTAACCAGCAAACAGCCACAATAAAGAGTGGCCAAGACAATGTCATGCTGACATTTCGAATCAAACAGTTCATATACGCAGTTCTCGTCAGAGGGCAGAAAAATATATCTGTCAGCATTCCCTTTCACACAAACACAGGGCTGTGCATTCAAGTGCAGTATTCTTGCACTTGCAACGCCTCACACAACCCTACTAGCTCATAGCAGGTGTGGGCTGCCTGAGGTAGTCTCGTCTAGATGATCCAGTATGGCCCACAGTCCTTCCTTATCTTTGCTCCAATCTCAGCTGGTTGGTGGAGGCAGCTCTGGTGCTGGTAGCAGCATCTGGCCCCACACATAGCCTCCCTGGTTGACCGCCCTCCTCACATGCTCCTCCAGAGCTGCCTTGGTTGGGGGGATCAGCTGCACATTGCTCTTCTTCATAAAGAGTCTCTTTGTGCCTTGTCAATGTCTGTGCATGTACTTGTTCTGTCATACAGAAGGATAAGAAACCTCTCGGTGGTGTGCATGACATCTGGTATGTCACGCGGTGCTAAGGACAGCTTCAACAGCGCATCTGTCAGTTCTGGCAGCACTTTTCAGATTACCCAGGCAGTCGTCTTGCCCTGTCGCACCCTGTCAAAGCATGGGACATTGGCAAGCTGCTACCTCATGGGCTGCGAGGTATCGGAAACTCTTACCAGTTCCGAATGCTATCCACAGATCATCTCCTGGTGGCAGCCGTTGAGCAACAGATACAGCCAAAACCACCACGTCGGTGTTAACAGTCCGGATCAGTATCTTGTGGTAGCCATACCGTGCTGCATGGGATGCAGGGCGCAACATGCGACTGTCAGCTTTTTCATGGTTGCATTGGGGCAAGTTAGGTCAGATCCATCAAGGAGTGCCTTACCATCAGTGATAACTAACGAACGTTTGTCCTCTGGGTCAAACCTCTTCAGGAGAGCTACTGACAAAAATTTGAACAGCTCTGCCTTGTTGCTGTCCACACGCAGGAAGTTCTGCCAATTTCCTGGTATTACTGCTTCCGTCACCACACGTCTGCGTACTCCATTTCCACGCTCTGCTCTTGCACTGCCTTTCAGTGAATCAGTGACGTAGCTGTCCCACACCAGGTATCTGCGTAATGCAGTTTGAAGCATTGTAGACATGTATGGGGTGAAGATATCATGTTCATACTCATCAAAGTTCTTGGATGCAGCTGGCCTTAGCATCTGACAATGGCTGCTTCGGACTTAACAGCTGAGAGTTCTTGCAAGCAAGTAAGGAGATTACTTTTTGTGCTGAGGCGGAGGCTTCCTCCATCAGAGTGCTGGAGGGCATGCCTGATTCTCGTGGCGAAATAACTCTTTTAGATTTCCATCTCTTGTCTGGCATCTGATGTAGAACCTTGAGAAGAGTTCTAAATCATTCTTAAGACTGGCCAGATGCTGCTTCCCTTTGCTCAAACTTCTTGGGGTAGAACCACTGAACACCATCAGCTTGCTCCGGTGAATGGTGTCCTCAACAGGCTTCGTTCTTTCGAGCAGGCATGCCTTTGCACTTTTGAACCTTTATAAGAGATTTAACATCCATTGTTAGCATGCCGTCCTCCTCAGTTGAGCCGGTATGCAAAAAAAAAAATAACCACGGAGGATCATTTTGAAAAATGGCTGCCACAGCCGTCAGGGGCCAAACTTTCGATGTCTCAATATCCAAATCTGTTCATAATCTACGTTTGTGCCAAATTTGGTGCTTTTATCACAAAATGTACAACTCTTATGCGTATATGGGTTATGTCGCTGGATTTATCACTCGGTTGCCGCTCCCTAATTACTCCATTATTAAAGATTAAATACCAACAATCAAAATAAGATCAATTAAGTTAAAAAGTATTTAAAATGTGGGTGGTGTTGACACACCTTCAAATGTGGATGTTTTATAGTGTCTCTTGTTAAATGTTCTTGATATTTCCTAACAAGGTAAAAGTGGCTGCCAGGGTTAACTGAAATGAAACAAAGTGGAATATCTTCTCATATAATCCACTTACTTTATAACTGAAGGAACTTAACTAAAATCTGTATAATATATCATTCGTAAAGTTATAAATGTAAAGCTCATTAAAGGCACTAAGGTACAAGCACGACACAATATAACTACTTTTTATCTTTGTTTCATCCGCAGTCATAGAACTGGCGAAACTTGCAATGTTTCGTGTAAACTTTGTAGATTTTTTTCTTACATTGTAATCATGGCTAGGTATTTTTCAGGATTTTAGTAATTGTACTCAAACACTCGTGCACTTCCAGGTTATGGCCACATTGCGCCTAAGACAGACTGGGGTAAAGTGGTGACTATTTTCTACGCCATCCCGGGAGTGCCGCTCATGATGCTGTGTCTGGCCAACATCGGCGATGGCATGGCCCACTCCTTCAGGTTCCTTTATTGGAAGGTCTGCTGCTATGCCTGCACAAAAAGGCCCAAGAAAAAGAGACGGGGCAGGTCCGTACGCAGCTCCAGAAGGTGAGTGGAATTCTGTTATGGTCCTCATAATATTTTTCTTTTCTTCATTGAGCAAATTTATTGATGTACAAAGCAAAGGAGAAAAAACTATTGAAGATTAAATAAAAAAGGTGAGAAACGTGTTCACTAAATAGCGTTAGTCTATTATATTAACTTAATATTTTACTACTTGTGTGACCTCACCGCACCTCATGACGGTTGTCGGTAAGTTCTCGCGTGACTGGCATTGATGTAGTGTAGAGCAGTGGTCCCCAACCTGTAGTGGCGCCCGCTGAACCATATTATGGAGCCCGCAAGGGTTCATTAGAAAAATGTGAAATATTTGGGATATTTGGTTAGAGTGAAATTAATGAAAATATGTAATAATTTCATACGACTTTGGAGAGAGAGAGAGAGAGAGATTGTCCCGAGTCTGTCGTGTACAGGATGTGTGAATTTACCCCCAGACTGGCCCAGAGTTAGCCAGCCTTCTTACTGAAGGTAAATGATCAAAGAGTAAATGTAAAAAGTATGTATTGTAACTGGTAACAGTTAGACGTGTAAAACTGCAAATTATTGGGCAGTATATGAGATTTTTTTTCTTAAATGTACATCCAAAGTCTTGGCCCAGAGCCTTCAAAAGGTTGGGGACCACTGCTGTGTAGAGTGTAGCTGATTCTCTCTGATCCCTTCCTTTTCCCCTCTCTCCCTCGACCCCCTCTCCACCATTTTACTCCATTATCTCCCAAGCCTCTAGTTAGTACATGCCACAACATTTAACACTTCCCGTAGTTCCCACTTTATGTTTTTGTTCCACTGACACCGACTGGCCACCGTTGACCTGCTACCAGGTTTACTTTTCCTGCTCATTTCATATAATCTTACCTAAGAGATAGTTAGGGAAGGTCCTGTTTAGTTACTCAAATCAGTGAAGGCTCCAACATGACGAGTGACACTGGACTCCTCTCTCTGTGGATCTAGATTTGACCATCCCACTTACTAAGGGGTAATTGATCTTGAGCGGTAACTCTGACTACACACAGTTGCCCGAAGATATGGAATCATTTAATTTTAGTAAACAGATAGTAATAGTCATAGAAAAGCCGTAATATTATGAGTGGTAGAAAAATAAGTTTTCAAAGCATTCAACGTATTTGAAACATACAGAGAAATATCTACACTGTCTGCCTGCCAAGTGTTTGTTATTTCGTGGATAAGAGGATAAATTTAAGTCCAAGTCTTAATTGAGTGTGGGTCTTTGCGCTCGGAGTGATCATGGCCTCTAGATCAAGAAAAAACATGACAGCGATTTCAGATGAAGATTGCACCTGTAGTGAAATATTATTCAGTTCCTCAAAGAAACACATTGTGTACAGTTACTTAAGATGATATGTGTGTTATTTTATTCTCATCGTGAATGCATTTATTAAATAAAGAAGTCTTGTGAATATGTGGCACAGTACAGTACAGTACTGGTATTGCGTATCGTTGATTTTCTATGATATGACTTTAGTGTGTCTTTAATCAAGTGTGTTCCTTAAGTGTGTGTACTTTGACTTAAATGTCTTCCATAATAAAAGGATGTCTCTTGACTTAAGTGACTCCCTTAATAAAAGGATGTCTCACGTGTGTTCCTTAATTTAAGTACCTCATGTCTTAAGTGTGTTCCATGACTTAAGTATGTCATATGACTTGAGTTTATCCCCTGAGTTGAGCGTGTCCCTAAACTTTATTGAGTCCTATTATCTAAACTTGTTATCTGGCTGTAGTCTAAATATTATGTTTTGACCTAAGTTGTTCACCTGGGTACAGTGTAAAAGATGATAGGTAATCATTGACTGGATTACAGCTATTTTATAAAAGGGTTACATTAGACAGTAACATACATTTTTGCAAATGTAAGAGATTCACAATGGAAGATGTTTCTAGTTTTCAAGTAAAAACATTATCATAATTAGAAAAAAATGATCAGACATATCAGTACAAGTACAGTATTAGGTATAGATTACAGGTACAGTAATCTCCATGTAGTGACAGCATTACAAAGTAAAGCCTCTACAAAAACAATTTTTGGGTGGCTGCTGGTAACAAACATGGAGTTTTAAACATCATCCTGTCCAAAGCTTCTGTCTCACTTTTGCTGAATATTTGTTGGTACATTTCATGAATGTTCCTTACAAATTTGTGTCCGTCATCAGTGTTGTTTGTGTCCCAGATGGCAGTTAATGCCTCATGGGCCTTTTTGTTATTTTTCGGTTATTTCGTGTGTCGTCGATACTGAAGCTCGGTTCAAGAATTTTTTTCATGCTCTTTTTTATTTACGTCCCGCGCCATAAAACTGCGCTACAATAAACACACACACACACACACACACACTCTCACGCGCGCGCGCGCTCATTCCATGCCAATGTGGAGCCACTAATATGATCCCTTAGCTCAAGACTATACAGGTATAGTAGACGGTATAGGAACATACATAGCTTGAACTCCCTGACTCACTGTTGTCTCCTCCTTCTCCCTCCCCCTCTCTCTCACCCTCATCAAGGTATCCGAGCCAGTCTGGAGGCAGCACCCGGACCCGCACCTCATCCTTCAGGAGATCCAACAGAGCCTCTGAGAAGTCAGCAGACTCACACCTCAGTGACTCAGCCTTCTACACTTCCTCCTACTCTGATCCTGAGTACAAGTGAGTAAGCATGTCAAAGGGAGTAGACAGAGGAATGAACGAGAAAGTGGTTGGTGTTGTGTGTGTGTGTGTGTGGTCTGGGGGGGGGGTCGGTGAGTGGGATGTGTTTTGGAAGAGGGGGACGCAAGGAAGAGTTTATGTGAAAGTAAGGTAAGGTGACGAAGAGGAGTAGTAAGGGAGGGTGTGGGATGGGTGGGAGAGGAAAGTTGAAAGAAAAACTATATATATATATATATATATATATATATATATATATATATATATATATATATATATATATATATATATATATATATATATATATATATATATATATATATATATATATATATATATATATATATATATATAATGCGTGTGTGTGTGTGACATATATGAGTTTTATATGATATTGTATTTACAGTGTGGGGGTGCATATTCTATACACCCTTTGCAGCGTTAGGTTAGGTTAAGTTAAAATAGTTCCTGGTGTCAAGCGAGTGCAGTGTAGCATCGTGTTGCAGGATGGACGATGACATGGTGGAGGCGGACATGCGGGGACTACAGAGTAACAGACCATCAGAACACAGCCACCACACCAGATCCTCACAGAACTCCAAGGGCTCAGACCATCTCACGCCACCACCCAAAGAGGTATAGATGAATGAATAATAACAAATAAAGTGTGAATGTGTGTGTGTGTGTAATAATAATAATAATAATAATAATAATAATTAATGGTTTATTGAAAGAGCATGGCAGCCGGAAGGCTGAAAATATATAGTTGCATAATTGGGAATAGGTCTCTTGATTGACAAATAATATACAAGTAACATATGTGATACAAATATGATATGTAATAACGAGGTGGGGAGAAGGTCATACTACAGAGCATTTCAACATGGTGACAGTGCAAAAAGGTCTGATTGACTGGGAGTGAATACACTGGTTGATTACAAGTTATTGATATTTTTTACAATGGTTGGGACTGGGCTGTTCTTATAGGGTGTGTGTGTGTGTGTGTATTTGCTCTGGATTTCAACCCCTTGCATTAAGAGAAAAATGGCTTGAAATAGCAATAAAAAATAAATATCACAATCATCTTGATCGTTTGGTAATAGGTTTTCTTATATAACACGAATATACTCCACTGGCTAAAAATTCCTGCCTATGTAAAAAGAAAGCATGAAATGACAGGAGAAGGAAGAAATAAGGGATCAGTGATGTAGAGAACAATGAGGAAAAATTTTCCATGGAGACTGTGTGGAGCTGAAAGATATGAAGCTCATCGCCAGGGTAGTGACATGTAAATGCTGTACCTCAACAACGACAGAAGACCATCCATGGAAGACAGACACCAAACAATTTATTACAAAACCAAAATTTCTTGGACTATAAAATAAGTTTAAATAGAAACTGTAAATAATTACTACTGCATTGGTGTAAAACTACCAGCAACCTCATAGCATACTGTATTGTACTGTACTGTTTAGAGATTTATGCTTACAGGATGAAGGACGAGTAGCGGTTCTTTTCAACAAGTACGCCCTGGAGAAAGAAGGCATCACTCCCGAGGATGGACACAGAGCCTCAGGGCGAGACCAGGACCGCGAAGTGGAGATGAGATCGTAAGTTGGGATGTTAGAGCATCGTCTCGTGTAGATGAGAATACAAACTGGGACTATTTCACACCAGTAGCAAGAAAGGAGACTCTGTGAGACTGGGATGTGCATGTGAAATCTTGAAGCCGGGACATGGGAGCTTTAGATGTGTAGATTACTGTGTAAACTGAGGCCTTGTAGGACTGGCAGGTGGAAATGATATCAAAAGGTGGGACAGGTAGGACTACTAAGCAGAGATGAAGGCAGAGACTGAGATGGATGGATGAATGAAATAAGTAATTGGACACTTGGTGATATATAAAAGCCGGAAATATTGGTAAAGATAGTAGAGAGGCATGGTTGGTTACCTCCAGACTTGATGACACCACCTTGATTGATTGACCTACAATCTGAGTGATTAAGATAATTCATCGGATGACAGCATTATAGGCTTCGCAATATGATGTCATGACGTGGATGTCACTAGACAGAACTAAGTAATTTATGGATGGAAGTCAAGTAGTGTGCATAGTTATCTGTTAAAGAGGACCCAATGTTGCAGTGACGGAAGGGAAGGAAGCCGAAAAAGCAGACGAGACGAGGAAGCTGACCTGCCCGTAACCCACCAACCCAGGAGTCCACGTGTGGGCCCAAACCCTGGTAAGGCAAAAACTAGTCTTGAGTTGTATACTCCACCACACACACAGTTTACGAATAATAACTGAGACTTCTAATGCTGGCTCTAACCAGTAAGAAGGACGAGCACCAATTCTAAGATATGTGATGATTTATGTATCAGTTCTTGGTTTAGTGGGTCATATTAGGGGATCATAGTTTTGGTGTGTGTGTGTGTGTGTGTGTGAAAACATTCAAAATGTACAGTACCTATGGACCTAAATATCAATGCCATGCCGACTATTAACCTCTGAATTTAAATCTATTAAAAAAAATAGATATGATAAGGAAACACATCTTCCCAACATCTCCTTTACATACACTTGCAAACATTTCAAAGACATTATCATGCTTATTTTGAACCCAGTCTGCTATGTCCCTTTGAACGTAATGTAAAAGATTCTCTGAAGGATATATAAAGGATGAATATACCACCAGGAATTACCACTAAGTATGAAGTCTGTGATTTGGTAAGTCATAATAAAGTAGTTCAGTATAGTATAGTTGTTTAGAGATATGACCAGTACCATACTACTTAAATCATCATGATTTGGCAGTGAATTGTGCTCGCTGTTTAATCAAGTGTTGCAGCTGCTTAAGAGACAGCATCCCTGCACAGGCCAAACATAGCTTAAAATTAGATCCAGTAATACTGTACAGTATACAGTATTTATCTTGGGGTCAAATTACTTTAACTATAGTTTGTTTTGTCTTATAAACTGTTCTAACATGAAACCTCGTCCAGCAGTGGTAATAGTGTGACTCTTGCATTGTTAATCTTTGTATCAAGGTGAGGGGTATTTTTTAATTATTTTAAAATTTGTTTTATGTCTTCTTCGTGTCCTTTCTAATAATTGTAAAATTGTATATATTTAGTATTATTTAAAAATTTGCTTGTTATTGTTTTTGTAATATGAAACTTACTGGGTTTTCCATGGTGTAAAACTGAGCGTACTCAATCCAAGTACTTGTACCAGTATATATTCCATCCACCATATAAAACAGAACCTTGTTTGATTTCAAGATGATATATTATTACCATTGTTCTGGCAATTTACTAATTGATGAGCTAGTTATAGTACAGTATTAATATATGAAGGAGTGAATTGAGCCACTCCTGAGATAGGGCAGAGGAAGACACTTGTTAACACGAATAAACACTAGATTGTAACCTCAGCTAACCTCATCTTGGTCGTTCCGCCACACTAACATGACCACCAACATCTGTTGTGAGGAAGATAATTCCTCTCTTAAAACGATGTGGCTTTTTAAGTGGCCATGAATGTGAAGTTTTTGGTAGCTTGTTTCTGTGAGATGAATATATATGGTGTATATTCATGGCAATACCACGTTCCCACAGGCTACTCCGACTCTCCCACGATGCCTAGATCACCTCGCACCTCAGAAAGATACTCCCGCCACTTACCTCCCCCATCTGATCCTAGAAGTCGTCTCTCCCGTCTAGATGAAGAGTACTACTACGATGACTACGATGATAGATACGACGATGACGATGACGATGAAGATCTTATTGGAGACAAACCTGTTCCTATCTGGCTGGGCGTGATGCTGGTGGTAGCCTACATCTTTGGTGGTGCGTTCCTCTTTGCCAGCTGGGAGGACTGGGGTTTCTTAGACTCCGTATACTTCTGCTTCATCACTCTTACAACAATAGGTCAGCAAGTAAAAATAATCCCATTCGTCGACCATATAATCAATTGTAGCCGAAATGAGAATTCAATAACATTGATGTATCCAATTTTTGTGTGGTTAATCAACTTAATGTTCAGAAAACCATGTTATTGCCAAGGGAGAATCATTGTACTGTGGGTCTTCTTTCAGTCTTAGAAATTTATAGGGTGCTGTTTACTGTGACGTGTGAAGAAATTGATCATTCAGCCGTGTCACTGTTTTTTGCTCAAACTATCTCCTCTTGTCCGGAAAGATATTACCCTTTAAAAAATGGGAAATGCCATGAAGGTTTATTGATTTTATGTATCAAAATAAATCTTGATAATCATCAGTATTATTTAACTATTTTCTAACGAGATTATAAAGCTCACATACATTTGCCTAACATATGGGTTATTTTACCGTTGCAGGCTTTGGTGACTTTGTTCCTGCGCAGGGAGTGAAGGAAAATGTGAAACTGAGCATAGCCTTGTGTTCCATCTACCTCCTGTTTGGTATTGCTCTGTTGGCCATGAGCTTCAACCTAGTGCAAGAAGAAGTCATCAGCAACGTCAAGAACATGGCTAAAAGACTCGGGATCCTGAAGGATGAGGAGGGAGAAGATGAAGTGGAATGAAGACAAAGCTCGGCTGCAGTTGTGTAGTCACTTAGGGTGGAGGTAGACTATACTGTAGATGTTCATCATGCTACACAGAGCATAATTTAGATATTAGAAGTATGAAGGATTTTATAATTAATCATCAGTATTTGAGGATGAAGTGTGGGTATCTACTTAAGCTTAGATCCTTACGTATAGGATGAAAGGACAGCTGAAGTGCCCAGGCCTTGAGAAATATACAAATGTAAGTAGCACTGTAAAATTCAGGTCATGATGGAAACAGATTATGACTAATTCGTCGTAGAAGGTATGTTGTTGAGTCGTTATATACGGATAAGACATTATAACTTGCATCAGACTTATTTTGAGTGAAAAATGCAGTCATTAAACCTCACAGACAGAAACAGAGTAATGAGGTGAATATAGATGTTAAACTACAAAAACTTAATTTTACCAATGTTAAATCATCCAACTTAATTACTTAGCACACAGTGTATATGAAGGTGAATGCAATGTATAAAGCAAATATTTTTTAAAGAAAAATATAAATATATTGGAATAATTTGCATTTTGCTTCGGGACTGGCTGGGGGTGTAATGTTAAGTGGCGTTCCACAAGAGACTATATTAGGTCTGATCTTATTCATCGTAAACAATAATATTTTACCCAATTTTGACTTAAGAAGTGCACCTCCTTGTTGATGATACGAAGATGTTCCAAGATATTGCCTGATCAAGACCAAATACAGATTGAAAGGTTCTAGATAACATCTGTAAATAGTACAAGATAGTACATGGTTGATTTGCTTTTATCTAGGCAAATGGAAAATTATGTTTATTTGAACGATAAAAGAAATCACGGAGCATATTGTTTAAATGGAAAAAATTAGCCAATTGAGTTGAAGAAGACAGGTAAAGAAAAGTATCTAGATGTGGTGATGAACATGAAAACAAGGCGAACCTGATGATGAAGCCAGATCCTGCGAACATTCAGTTACTTGGATACTGTTTAAAAGACCTTCGATAGTTGTGCAATGCCCTGGTGCACCCACATATAAAATAAACTAATGCAGTATGGCATCCCTAAATGATGAAAGAAATTCATACAGTTGAAAGTGTTCAAAGACAGACAAATATATTCATAACACTGCTGAAGAACTTCGGTTATGAATATCGTCTGAGAAAGCTGAAGATTCCATCAATGGTGTACACTGTACACCGTGATACAGTGCTTGTATGATGGTGATGTTGATGCAAGGATTAAACCATAAAGTGTAATCCCCAGCCAGTGCCAGAGGTCACAGCTTTAAGATGTTTAGGATATTTCAACAAATCAAGTCGGGACAGAACAACTTCTCACTGCGGTTGGTTGAATAAGCACTGGATGAATCAAGATATTATATATAATTATATGCAATTCCAGATCCACTAGCTTTCTTGTTTCAGTACCAATTAGTGTTATACAGCGGATGAGGATGATCTGGACATACAGGTATGAAGCCTTGTCCAGAATGCATCTCGGTGACCTAAGCAAGAAAATCTGTGAACTTCAATTTGTTTTAACACATAAGCAATATTTTCTATCAATATCTGTATTGTATATTGATTTTCCCAAACTTAATATTCGATAATACACACAGCAGCTTGTTCATTCATTTAATTTACTATCTCTCTGTCACCGAGTGTCAGGACCCTTGCTCAAAACACTCACTCAAGGTTCTACTTTAAATAATTTGATAAAGAAATGAATAATTGCCGAAATATAATAATAAAAAAGATAAGAAAAACTTACTGGGAAAAAGTATGAAGATTTCTTCAATTCATGTAGTACTGTACAGTATTGTACTGCAATGAGTAAGGAGCTAACCAGTGTACCACAATGTACAATAATAGTACTTTCACCACTGTTTGTCTTCCCAGTAAGTACAGGTATAATACTATGCTAATATCATAAAGCTAAAAAAAATACGTAATTTAATATATTTTTTTAAAGTGTCAAATTTCTAACCAAACGAATATATAACATAAATGGACTTGTTCATCATCAACACTATTGACCTGCAGGCATCCAACATTACTGTTGTTAGATGAAATATTCATCAGAAGAGCTGAGGATAAACAGCACCTGTAGGATATTCTTGAAACAAAATATATGGATAATTAATTACCTTTCTAGTGTATTAGAAGTGCTTGTTGTCTCCAGTGAACTAGTCAGTGCATCCCTGCTGAATAACCCTGACTGCTCACTTGGCACATAAATATTCATTCCATCGTGTTTTCATCAGAGTCGAGGTCCATCACCCACTTCACCCTCTGAATATGGCAATTAAATTAAGCAATAACTTAACAATAATCCAAAATGCAAATTGCCAGGGCACAAATTTATTTCTTCTCTTAACTTTCATGTTAATGACTCCTGGAGGTTCATCACAGTTTGTAGAAGTACTGTATATCAAGGAGTAGATCACACTTTTGTAGAGTTTCTGTACGAAAGCAACACACTCCATTATTTGTTAAATAGTTTTGTATGTAAGTCCTCATTTCACTCTTGACAACGGTTATGTGTATAACGGTTTAATATACATTTCTCACTTATATCGCAGTTTTCCAGACAGTTTTTTAATGTTACTGTATTTATATTTAATTTTGTGTGTTTATTTTGATTATACTACAGAATGTAAGACTATGATTGTAGTCTGAGACTAACACCGTTCCAGCAGCCTCAGATGAGGTCCATGTTTTAATAAACCACCGTGAATTAGCACCAGGATGATAGTCTTGTCAAAGTTCAAAGATCAAAAATGTCAACAGATTTCATCAGTGATTATACAGTATACTTCATTTTTAGTCCATATAACACGCGGACTTTGAACATATAATCAACGACCTCACCAGCAAGCAATCGAACCCTCGACCTACTGGGTGGGACTAGGGAACGCTTACCGGCTAGCCCACAAGGACACTAAAAGCAGTTCTAGACTCTGTTATATTTCACACAAAGCCTGTTCATCGAGCTGATGGCGCCGTGAACCTCATTGGGAAACTGCCCGTGCCTCGTATGTGGTGTCAGTAGCATTTTACCGAATCCAGCTGGTATGAAGCGTTCCCTAGTCCCACCCAGTAGGTCGAGGGTTCGATTCCTTGCTGGTGAGGTCGTTGATTTTATATATATATATATATATATATATATATATATATATATATATATATATATATATATATATATATATATATATATATATAATATGCAGTGAATCAGCTGTTGTTTAGCTTGCCATTAATTCTCTTATAAGTCTTTACATATTTAAAAGACAAATATTTCTTAGTGGTCAACGTAGACGTAATGTATAATCAAATGGAAAACTAAACTCGGGCCACCCTTCTCTTTTTATTTTTTTATTTCCATGCTGTATCCTATATAGCCCCAGTGTCTTAGACTGCAAGGGAAATGGTAATGACACATTTGCTTAAGTATCTTTAGTCCTCTTGAGATTCTGTACTATTTTATTTCGAATATGCATTTACATCTTTTTCTTAAGGTTATCATAATGTCTTTGTTAATTATGTATGTGAGCTGGTCATCAGCGTGTGACTGACTTTGTGAGTATTAGTAATGCTAACTAGTGTTGTTGTGATGTTTATTTTGACTTTAAGTGAAAGATCTCTTTAAAGGATGATTTTAGATGGTGTTTATATAGTATGTATAGAATGGGTCTTGTTCCCTTTATTGTGTAGGAGGAGGGAGTCTATCCACATGTACTGTATTGGTGGAAGGAGTCTATCCACTTGTATTGAGTAGGTAGAGGGAGTCTCTCTACTTGTGCTATTGTACTGTGTAGGTGGAAGGAGTCTATCCACTTGTATTGTGTAGGAGGATGGAATCTATCCACCTATATTATATAGGTGGAGGGAGTCTATCCCCTTGTATTGTGTAGGTAGATGGAATCTATCTGCTTTTACTGTGTGGGGAGTCTCTCCACCTGTACTGTGTAGGTGGAGGTATTCTATCTACTTGTACTGTGTAGGTGGAAGGAGTTTAACTGCCTGTATTGTGTAAGTGGAGGGAGTCTCTCCACCTGTACTGTGTAGGTGGAGGTAGTCTATCCACCTGCATTGTGTAGGTGGAGGTAGTCTATCTACTTGTACTATATAGGTAAGAGTATTAAATATCCTATATATTGTTTATTATCCAACCAAGAATAAAAGAATTACTGTATTTCTATTATTAGGCTGATGAGTACAATCGTTCAGTTTCTTATAAGGAGTTCATCCTGGGCCGAGTGATTCTTTGATCCTGTGAACATTCAAAGATATAAAATTTCCTGTTCATGTGAAAATTCGGTTAAAATATATTGTGTACATGATGATTCAAAGTCAAAATTCCTTGTTTACGTCACTGGTGTTTATGATTTTTTTTTTTTTTTTTTGGTATCAGCTTACTAGCCTTTCGGGCGGTTGTCTATCCAGTGTAAGTATAAAAGGAGACCGGACTCCAGGACATGAAGACTAAGGAATGATTTTCATGATTATTCATATACAGTACCAAGGAAATGCTACACTAACTACAGTTCAGCTCGTTTTTGTAAAGTTATTATCGAACAGTTTTGAAAGTTTTATGATTTTTGTTTAGAATTATGTAGTTAGCATAATAATGAAGATACAGTATGCTTTCCTTTACTTCAGGTAGTCGACAATGTATTTGTATAATCTAGTCACGACTGTAGAATCTTTATTATGTAAGATGTAAAAAATACCTCTTCATTGTAAATCTTTGTTTTCTTTAATCCAAATTACATACCTTATACGAGTTTGAGTATTTTTCCCTCTTTGGGGCGTCAGCGTATGGAAAGAATGTTGGAATGAGGCAGGACATTAATTTCATCACGGAATTGGGGAGTCACACATTACTCAGGAGTGCAACTGCAGAGCACAGGAATGCATTAGTCTCAAAAGGATTATTGTAAGGCTCTTATGAGAGGAAGTGATAAATGAAAGACCCCATACAAAGAATTAGAAGGCCTAAATTTCTGTAGGAAGATATCTTTGATGCTCATTTAAATATTCCATCAAGTTCTGTTGAATTATGAAAGAAATTCTACCCAGTCCTACACACAAGAAAGCAAAGATAACATGACAGACTTCGTACAATGATGTGTGTGAGGGCAAGCAGGCTGTCTGAGGGAAACAGTGGCGTGTCCACAGAAATGTCCACATGATGAATGGGTAAAACAGAGAAGCGTAGAAGGCATGCACCGGCTCCTGAATGTACCTGAACCCGCTCCAGTGTTGGTCAAGTCTTGTCTTGAAAGAGCTCACACTCGGTGCCGTCACAACACTTTCTGGTAGATTGTTCCAAGAGTTTACAACCCTCACTCCGAAAAAGTTTGCCCTCATAGTTTTCTGGACTTGCGGCTTCTTCAATCTTGAGCTGTGACCCCTTGTGGGGCGAGCGTCCGCCAACTCCAAGTAAGGACACTCGACTGAGTAGTGCCCCCTCAACTAGGTCACCCCTTGCCCGTCTGTAATATAAACTAGGCAAGTTCAGGCGCTCTAATCTCTCAGGGTAGCTGAGGGGACCAGACGGGGTGACAGTACTCCAGATGGGGAAGCACTTCACTCTTGAAGATCGTTACGAGGGACGGACCGTCTAGATATATGAACGACCTTCTTATAAGACCCAATAATTTATTTGCCTGGTTTACCTTCTTCTCGCAATGACCCGAGAACTTCAGCTCATTGTCAACATACACACCTAGGTCCTTCTCACATTCAGTCTCAACTAGTGCAGTTTCTTCATCCCGTTGGGACATATGATACGCCTCCTTACCGTTGGTACGCTCCAGGTGCATCCTCTTACACTTCGTGACATTGAATCTCAGCAGCCATTTCTTCGACCATTCCTGGAGCCCACAGAGGTCCTTCTGCAGCTCTTCACAGTCCATTTGGTTCTTAAGTTCTCGAAATAACTTGGCGTCATCGGCAAACATTTGTATGGAGGAGTGTACAACGTCAGGCATATCATTTATGAAACAAACACAACAGCGGGCCCAATACACTGCCCTGTGGTACCCCACTTGTGACAGGTACGGATGACGATTTCGTGCCATTAATCACCACACACTGCTTGCGGTCATGTAGAAAGTCTTCTACCCATGCTAGGACATTTCCCCGAATTCCGTACCCTCCCAGTTTGATTTTCAGCCTTTCATGGGGTACACTGTCGAAAGCCTTGGCAAAATCTAGGTAAATATTGTAGATATTACCACCCCGTTTCAGAATATGGGTCCAAATATCCAATACCTTGAACAATTGTGTTAAGCAGGAGCGCCCCGGTATAAATCTGTGTTGGCAATCCTTTACAAGATTGCTTCGTATTAGATGTTCCATTGCGGCATCTCTGATAATACTCTCAAGTACTTTACATATTATGCTGGTCAGGCTCACCGGTCTATAGTTGTTCGTGGAGTGCCGATCGCCCTTCTTGAAGATAGGACTCACATAAGCCACTTTCCATTCACTGGACCATTTGTTCATCCAGGCATTTACAAAACAGGATCTTCAGGGGCTCTGCAAGCCCATTGCACAACTCTCTTAGCACTCTAGGATGCACCATGTCAGGGCCGGGACTCTTATGGACCTTTAGCCTGAACAGTTTATTTCTAATACCCTCTTCTGTGAACACAATGTGGGTCAGTGCTGTGTCGAACCGTCTGTCCTCAAACGCAGGAAGGTTAGCTGCATCCTCTCTTATGAACATCGAGGAAAAGAAGCTGTTCAATGCCTCAGCTTTATCCTGGTCAGAATCTGCGTAACTACCATCCACAAGCCTCAAGTCTGACACTCCTACTCGCGTTTTCAATTTCGACTTTGCATAGCGGTAAAACGCCTTTGGGTTTGACTTGAACTCGCTTGCAACCAGCCTCTGGAACTCCTTTTCAGCCCTCCTACACTCTATCTTTGCTTGGTTTCTGGCTCTTGCATACATCCTCCTGTCTTGCTCATCGGTTGACCCAACCCAAGTCTTGAATTTCTGGGTTTTCTTCTTAATTTTGTCGACCGCCGCATGGTTCATGTGTAGGGATCCCCTCGAATTCCTAGAAGCACTGGGTTTGGTCTTGCGGAGGAAATGCCAACTCACCAATTGATTCATACTCATGGATAAATGACTTGGTGAATACATTGGTAATATACATTGGGTATATATTTATATAATACAAATTGTGCTGTCACAATATGAATAAATACTCTGCCCATCGCATTTCCAGTATCATCACACCATCAACAATGTAAAGGAAAATAAATATCCATTAGGAAAACATAAGCTGGGGTGTTGAGCTGACTGACTTCTCTGTTCTCCTATTGGCTGTTATTTGGATTTACATTTTAGTCCACCAATCACAGTTAAGTAAGGGATTACTGGACGTATGCAATACGTACGGCGCTACGACCAAAAGCTTTAAGTCTCCAGGCAGGGGACGCCTCTAGTAGGGCCCCTGGGAAGGCCCCTGTGGGTACTGCAGCCCCTTGGGGCGCCACCGCCTATGAAAGGCCCCCTGGGGACACCACTGACCACAAAGAGAGTCCTTGGGGAATTCGTTGCCCTTAAGGAATGTCCCTGGAGGCGCCTTCGCCCCTTGGCGAGCCCCTAGGGTCGCTACCACCCGTGGGAGCCCCGCTCCCCCAGAATGACCCCTGGGGACTCCGCTGCCCCTGGCAGGGCCCCTGGAGGCGCCACCGCCTCTGGAAGGGCCCCGCTGGGAGCCATCACCCCTAACAGGGCCACTGGGGCTACCCCTACCCTTGGTACAGCCCCTGGCGGCCAACACCACAGAGAAGTCCCGTTGGGGGGCCGCTGCCCCTGGGAGGGCTTCTGTGGGCACCACCGCCTCTGTAAGGGCCCCTGGGAGCTCCACAGCCCATGTCAGGTCCCCTGAT